TCATAGGCCCAGAATAGGTACAGTTCATAAGAGGGCTCAGACTGGACAAAACTATAGTCAAAGAAAGTCTCTGTCCCAGGAATAGACACATGTTAAACACAGCATACATCTTATCTTCCCCAAACATGGCAAGATTAATACCATGATTCCAAAAGAATGTGACATGAAACCCTGGGGATACTGATTCTATGATTTAGCCATCTGGCCAAACATTGGCATTCAGACAAGATCTCTGAGTTAAAATTAAGGCTAAGGTACTAATAAAGGCATCTGAAGAAAATCTAACCCAAAACAAACAAGAAATCAAGGCTAAGAAGGTACATATAATAAAAGACAATGTATATCAGTAATTCTGTTCCATGTTCCATTGTCAACCTAATTTGTTCAATGTAAACTTCAAGAAAGATTTTCAGGTAGAGTATTTTATGATTCACATATACGAAGTCTTTACCAAGTAATTCAGCAATGATTTGAGTCAGACATAATATTAACTGGATTTCTCAACTTTTTTTTTTTTTAGATAGTCTTGCTTTACAGCCTAGGATGGTCACTTCAAGTAGTGATCATCCTCTTTCAGCTTCCCAAGTACCGAGATTACAGGTTTGAATCACTACTCCCAGCTTTGGAGTTTCAAACATTTTAACTGCCATTGTCAATGACCAAAACAATGCCAACAAAAGAAAATAAAAGTACAAATATAGTAGTTGTCCATCTTTCTTTCTTTTTTGGGGGGGAGGGGGAGGGTCCAGTCGTGGGGCCTGAACTCTGGGCCTGGCCGCTGTCCCTCAGCTCTTCAGCTCAAGGCTAGCGCTCTACCACTTGAGCCACAGCGAAACTTGTGGCTTTTTTTTCTTTTTGCTCATGTGGTGCTGAGGAATCGAACCCAGGGCCTCATGCATGCAAGGCAAGCACTCTACTGCTGAGCCACCTTCCCAGTCCTGTCCATCTTTCTTTTAAAGAAATAAACTTTTCTATTTAAAAGTTCACTAGAATTTCCAGAATTGATGTAAAAACAACTATAATCAAAACAACACAATCCCCAAAGATATCCAGAAAAGAATGTTGGGGTGTCCCATCTTCACACTGCTTTTCTGAATGATTTCCACATTTGGCTTTAATTGTGCTGATAACCTGTATTCCTTGTCTATTTTGGCAAAGACCATCCCTATATATGTTCAGTTCAGTGCTGAAAACTAAAAAGGGTTTTCCTTTTGCAGTAATGCACAACTACAAAGTCATGTTCAGGTCCTCAACACAGTAACGGATCACCCTACTCACCAGCAAGGGCATTCAGTACAGGCATACTCACAGGTTTTACTCTACTGGGTTCGTGCTTTTTTTTTTTTTTTTAACAACAAGCAATCTACTTCAAGATCCTGTGTCAAAGACACTAGCATGTATTTTTTGTGTTGGGTAGAGCTTGCCAGCTTTTGAGCTTTTCCAGGAAAACTGAAGCCTGTGCTATAGGATAGGATGGACGTCGCCCGAGGCACCAGGGAAGGCGAACGAAGTGATGGTGGGAAGCCACTTTTCAAGGGCCAACAGGGAAATCTTCCCTTACAGTAGATAAAAATGCATTGCAAATAATGAATCATGACTCTTACTTTGCTTTTGTCACTCTGACTTATATCAAAAGGGAGTCCTTTTCTGTGTTAGCCACTACCTGTGTGTCAAATCTAACTAATTACCTTTCATTTAGCAAACTGCTTATAGCTGAAAAAGCAAAGGATTTTTATTACTTTTTAAGTCCCAAGTGTAAGTCCTTTCCTATATACAGTGCAAAATAAAGCAAATATTCAGAAGAACACCACATTTTGATGCTTAGTTCCTCCTCTCAAGTCATCGCATACCAAAGTCCACACAGCCCATTTCAAGATAAGAACCTTATTGGAGGAAGGTGATTTTAAAAAACAACAAACAGCACAGTGATCATAAGGGAAATACCACATTCTGAAGACATTACCCTGAGAGTACCAGTTTAAACTGACAAGCCATTGGGATTGGCTTTAGAGTGCTTGTACTTCAAGCCCTGGGTTTGATCCCTAGCATAGACAGATAGATTAGATAGATAAATAGATAGATAGACAGACAGACAGACAGACAGACAGACAGACAGACAGACAGATAGATGGAATAAATTATCTTTAAGAAGTTGTACAAAGGAGATGCCATTTAACAAAGCAGTTTATGAAGACAATGTGTCTTGATCCATGTGGCCCCTTCAGCATTCTGACCTCCCTTTGGCCCACCCCTTCCCTCACTTTTCTTAATTCTGTGGGACATACAATGAGAGCTTAACTGCACTCTCTCCATTTCCCCCTCCATTCATCTACCCCTCTTCTCTCCTTGGCTTTCCTCTCCCCTTACAAGTACCTGTTTCCTGGTGCTTATTTTTTGAAGTTCAACCTAATCTTTCTAAAATATTATACTATTTGTGTTTTCCATAGAGTCTATTATGCTTCAGTTAAATCTTATACAAGTTTAAAATATTTAATTCACATTTTAGGCAGAAACTGGTGGCTCATGATACCAATTTAACTTCCTGAGAGGCTGAGACTGGGAAGAATGTGGTTCCAGACCAGCCTAGCAAAAAAGTTTGCAAGGCAGTGGTCATGCCTGTTACCCTAGCTACAGTGGAAAGCCTAACATTAGCAAATGTAGCCTGGATGTATGATCAGCCAGGAAAGAAGAACCTATCTCAAAAATAACCAGCAAAATCAGGGAAGGTTAGAGGCATGACACAGTGGTAAGATACCTGCCTGGTAAGCATGAACACCCAAGTTCAAACCCCACTTCTGCAAAAAAAAAAAAAAAAAAGGAAGCTTAATTTACAGTTTAAAAGGAAAAGGAAAAATAGACAATTAAAAAATCCCTACAGAGCCACTTATTATTTGGATTATTTCTGAGGAGGTAGCAAATTACCTTGAATTCAAATCTGTTACTTGTCATTACCTTACATTTTAAAAGTGTAAGAGTGACAGTTTCTTTTTTTAATTTCTTTCCTTAATTGTTGTTTTGTTTTTGCTGGTTATTTTTGGAGATAGTCTCCCAAAGCCACATCTGTAACGCCAAGAATGAGACAAGGGAAATGTTTCTCTCTCTGCTCTTATTCGCTATAGAACATGTAACTCCTAACCACAGCAATAAGGTAAGAGAAAGAAAAGGGATACAAAGAGAAAGCACACGTGTATATCTACCACACTTTGCAAATGATACGATTCTATAATTAAAAGGCCCTAAAGGTTTCCTCCTGATAAGCACTTTAAGCAAAGCAGCAGAATACACAAGTAACATAAAATATCAGTAGCTTTTTATGCCCTAACAACAAAAAGGCTGAAAAGTAATTAGAAAAAAAAAAGAAAAAAGAATCAGGAAAGCAATTGCATCTACAAAGAGGCTAAAAAAATAATAAAATAGGATCTGGGAAGGTGGCTCAGTGGTAGAGCTCTTGCTTTGCATGCAAGAGGCCCTAGGTTCGATTCCTCAGCACCACATAAGAAAAAAGAAAAAAGCTGGAAATGGCACTGTGGCTCAAGTGGTAGAGCACTAGCCTTGAGCTGAAGAGCTGAGGGACAGCGCCCAAGCCCAGAGTTCAGGCCCCAGTTCGGACCCCCATCCAAAAAAAATAAAATATCTAGAAATAAACTTACTAAGAAGGTGATGCCAGGAGCTGGGAATCTGGTAGAGTACTTGCCTAGCATGCATGAAGCCCTGGGTTCAATTCCTCAGTACACATAAACAAAAAAAGCCAGGAGGGCACTATGGCTCAGTGGCAGGGACAGTGCACAGACCCTGAGTTCAAGCCCCAGGATGCCCCCCCCACCAAAAAAAAAAAAGAAGGTGAGGCCAGGCACTGGTGGCTCACACCTGTAATCCTACCTATTCAAGAAGCTGAGATCTGAAGACCATGGTTCAAAGCTAGCTCAGGCAGAAAAACTTGGGAGATTCTTATCTATATTCAACTACCAAAAAGCTAGAAGTAAAGCTGTAGTAGAGCACTAGTCTTGAGCAAGAAAGCTCAGGGACAGCACCCAGGCCCTGAGTTCAAGCCTCAGGACAGAAGAAGGAGAAGAGGAAGACTACAAAGAGGAAAAGGAGGAAAAGAGAAGAGGAAGAGGAGGAGGAAGAGGAAGAGGAGGAGGAGAAAGAAGAGGGAGGAGGAGAAAGAGAAGAGGGAGGAGGAGAAAGAAGAGAAAGAGAGGAAAAGAAAGGAAGAAGGAAGAGGAAGAAAGAAGAAAAGGAGATGAAGAGGAAGAGGAGGAAGAAGATGAGAAAGATGAATGAGAAAGAAGAGAGAGAGAAGGAATAAGAGGAGGGATGAAAAGGAAGGAAGGAAGAAAGGAAGGAAGGAAGGAAGGAAGGAAGGAAGGAAGGAAGGAAGGAAGGAAGGAAGGAAGGAAGGAAGGAAAGGGATAAAAGACCTCTACAATTATAACTATAAAACACTGAAGAAAGATTGGAAAAGGTACAGAATATGGAAATACATTCCATGTTTATGGATTGGCAGCACTAACATTGCAAAAATGGTATATTACTGAAAGCCATCAATGCAATCTCCATCAAAATCTCCATGTCATTCTTCACAGAATTAGAAAAATCAATCAAAATGTATATGGAAGCATAAAAGACCCTGAGTAGCCAAAGCAATACTGAGCAAAAAGAAAAACATCAGAGGTATCACAATACCTGACTTCAAATTATATTCCAGAACCATAATAAAATGCAGAGCACAAAAACAGACCCAAAGACCAATAAAATAAATGATCCAGAAATAAACTCTCATAGCAGTGGCCATCTGATTTGTCAAAAAAATGTCCCGGAGGGAAAGGCAGTTTCTTCAACAAATGCTGGATACCACAGGTACAAGACTGTGAAAAGACTTCTCTCTCACACACACTGAGAGAATGATTCTATAAGAGGCCTTTGCAGCTCCTCTCCTGACCTCTCCTCCCTTCCCAGCCCCAGGGTAATACCGCACCCTCATGCCCTAGAAGCATTACCTGCTGGTCATCAGGAGTCCATATGCCACATGTGATTTGACTTTCCAAGTTGATCTCAGATGACCAGTGTCTTTGTCCACTGACAGAACCAACCAGGACAAACCCATCTCGATATGAAATAAGCGCTTGAGTTCCATCATGGCTCCATGTGAAATCACTCACCTTTGAGATAGAGAAGAAGCATCAGTTCATAACTGGAAAAGGAAAACATTTACCAAGGCCCAGATACAATCATTAACTTAGCCTTTTGACTATGATTGTCAAGACAGTTTAAAGAACAATATAATAGGTATTATTTGAAAAGTTATATTGTGTACTACATGCTACCACTATTATATGTGCTTTGTGTACATTAATTCATAGACCCGTAACAACTACCTATAGACATCACCCTATCTACAGAAAAACAAAACAAAACAAAACTAAGGCACAGAAGGATTAAGTGACTTGTTCACAGATACACAGTGGTCAAGCAGCAGTCACAATTAATCCCAGGCTCCAGGGCCCTTGCTCTAAACCACTGCTTATCCATAGGTTATGACTGGAAACAGCTTCTCCATCAGTGTCTTGCTTCCCAAAATAAAATAACAAGCTCCAAGTTTCTTACTCCCTTATAGTCTTACAAATAATACTTCCCAGATCAAAATGAAGTAAAAGAAATTTAACTTGAAACATTATTTCTTCTTGAATATTGAGTCTAACAAATGTCTATTTAAATGATTACATTTTTTAATGTTAATCTACTGAGGTGAATTACTATGGATTTTCCATGATATTACTCTTATATATTGAGGAATACTGCATAAATAATTAAGGCTACATTAGGGATATAGCTCAGTAGTACAGCACTTGCCTAGCAGGAGGCTCTGGGTTTGATCCTTAGAACTGGTAGAAAAATGGTAAGATTATACATTTTTCTCACATTACCATTTTAATCATATCTTATAAATTTTGCTACATGTTTTCATTATCCTTCAGTTCTAGGATTTGACAAGTGTTCTTTTTTTTTTAATTGTGAAAATACTGTACAGAGGGGTTACAATTACATGGGCAAGGTAATGAGTACATTTCTTATCAAGCATTATAGCCTCCTCCTTTGTTTCCCCTTCTCATCCTCCCCCCTTGACAAGTGTTCTTAAATTTATTTTTTCAGCTCAAGAGCTATTTAACCATGCATTAAACATTTTCAAATAGGCAAGGATCTCTCAAATTTATCTTTTGTCATTGACTTCCAGCTCAGTTGCACTGTGTCCAGAGATCCTGCCTAGACTCCTGATACAAATCATGACACAAATCTACTGACATTTTGTTGATGTCCTGTTAGGTTGGCCTGTGGAACAAATCTGTCAGTCACCTGTTTCTGTGTACTCTACAAAGTGAAAGTGGTTTCAGATGACTGAAGAAACAAAATTAATAGTAGATTAATATTTGGTTGTTTATATAAAGATTTTATTTCATCAATTCATTTTTTTAAATTGTCTTCTTGGGCTAGGTTGATGCAATCAAGCTGACCATGGCTAGAGGTGAGCTTCGGCAAAAAGTTCTCAGGATTCCATCTTAAGAAAACAAGTTTATTTTGTTTTGTTTTGGGTCCGGTCGTGGGTCTCAAGGCTAGCGCTCTACCACTTGAGCCACAGTGCCACTTCTGGCTTTTTTTCTTTTTTGCTTATGTGGTGCTGAGGAATCAAACCCAGGGCCTCAGGCATGCAAGGCAAGCGCTCTACCACTGAGCCACCTTCCCAGCCCCAAGTTGTAAGCAGTGACACATGCCTACACATCATCTCAGCTATTCAGGAGGTAGAGACTGAGAGGATTTCTAGCCTGGGCAAAAAGTTCTCAAGACCTCATCTTGACAAAATATGCTAAGTATGATAGTACATCTGCCTTCCCGGCTTAGCAGGAGGCCATAGGTAGGAGGAGGACTGAGGAGGGAGGCTGGCCTTGAGCAAAAACTGGCACTCTCTGAAACATAATCTAGAAAGGGCTGTAGACTTAAGAGCAAGTGGTAGACTGCATGCCCAGCAACTTAGAGTCCCTGAGTTCAAATCTCAGTACTACTAAAAAAAATTGTTTCTCTTTGCTACATAATACTTAAATTAACATACCTAAAATATTCTCGGGCTGGGAAGGTGGCTCAGTGGTAGAGCGCTTGCCTTGCATGCATGAGGCCCTGGGTTCAATTCCTCAGCACCACATAAACAAAAAGAACAAAGCCAGAAGTGGCGCTGTGGCTCAAGTGGTAGAGCGCTAGCCTTGAGCTGAAGAGCTGAGGGACAGCGCCCAGGCCCAGAGTTCAGGCCCCATGACCGGACCCCCCCCCAATAAAAAAATAAAATAAAATAAAATATTCTCTATCCACACCTTTACAAGAAATGTTTGTGGAATGTTATCCAAAAACATTACTGATTTTGTTAACTGATTTGTACTTAAAGAAAAAGCATGTAGGTTCAGAATCTACATATGTCCATTAGGGCTTGCTTAAAATGCATTGCTTGTGAATATCGCTGTTGTAATATATTAGAAATGATCTATACAACTTGGGGGGTTGGAGTGAGGGAAAGTAGGAGAAAAATGAGGGAAGGGGTAACAAATTTGACAAGAAATGTACTTATACCTTACTTATATAACTGTAGCCCCTCTGTACAATGCTTAAAAACTGCACTGTTTATCTTTGCTGGTTGCTGTTGAAAACTCAATGGATGACAAGGGCTGTTTATTTTCTCTTCCAGTTCTACCAGTTTCCTTCAAATATTCTTAATTTTTTCAATAAACATATGAATATTTAAAATATCTTGAAAAACTGCAGTCTTTATTGGTATCTGGTATCTATAAACCTGATACTTTTTGTTTAACTCAGAGACCTCACTTGCAAGACAGATACTCTACCACTTGATCTGAACCTTCAGCTCTTTTTGCCTTGGTGATTTTTGGGTGAGGTCACACTTTTATGCCTGGGTTAGACTGGGCTGTGATTCTCCAACTTGTGTTCTCGCTGCGGATGGCAGGCTCAAGCCACTGTACCTGCCACTGGTTGAGATGGAGTCTCACAAACGGTGTGTGTGTGTGTGTGTGTGACACACATGCCTGAAACGGTGTGTGTGTGTGTGAGAGAGAGAGAGAGACACACACACATGCCTATGCTGCTCCTAGGGCTTGAACAAGGGCCTAGACACTTGTGATGAAGTCTAGTGCTCTATTACTTGAGCCACAGCTCTACTTCTGGCTTTTTTTTGTGGTTAATTTGAGATAAGAGTCTCACAGACTTTCCTGCATGGGCTGGCTTTGAACCATGATTCTCAGATCTCAGACTCCTCAGTAGTTGGGATTACATGAGCCACCAGCTCTTGCCTCTCATAAACTTTTAATTCTGGAACAGCCTTGAACTTTGATCAGCCAATCTCTGCCCCCGAAGTAGCAGGATCACAATCTTGAGCCACCATGCCAGCCAAGCTCTAGGTTTTGATTGGTGACTTTAGTCCAGTTATATCTATTCTAACTAGTCATAATTATGAAATACATCTATGGTGACAGTGGCTTCAATTAAGGAGCCAGCTCTTGGATACAGCTTTGAGGTCACTGAGGAAGGTAACTGTTTCCTCACATAAAACAGAACCATGGTTTCTTATGCATCAGGTTCCAACCAATTATATCATCTAGCTTTTCTTAAAATTTTTAAACAAAATTCTTTCAGAGACAACATATTATATTCTTCAATAAAATTGAAAACATTCATTTTGCTATGTATCATGGAACACTCTCTGGTTTTTAGTAACCACCATTCTATGAGATCAACTTTCTCAGAATCCATATAATGAGTAAGATCATGGGGGTACTTGCTTTTGCTGTGCCAGGCTTATTTCACTTAACATAATGATATTCAGTTTTATCCATGTTGTTACAAGTGACAGAATTCATTTTTTATTATTGGATAATATTCTTGTGTATGTGGATTCCTAATTTTCTTTACCCATATATTAGTAATGGGATGGTGGATTACATGAGAAACTTCTACACTGTTTTTCATAACTATACAAATTTAAACTCCCACCAAAGGTGTACAGGTTCCCCCTTTTTCTATTTCCCCATTAGAATTTGTTACTTTTGTCTGTTTGATAACAGCCACTCTAACTAGAGTACAGTGGTATCTTATTGTGGTTTAGATGGGCATTTCCTTGATGATTAGTAAAGTTGTGCACTTTTCCATATTCCTGTTGGAGATTTGTTTTTCTTTTGAGAATGTCTATTGAGGGACACTGCTCAGATTTTAGCTGAATCATTTGGGTTAGTAAGCATGGAACAACAAGAATATATGACAACTGGCCAGGTATAGTGGTGTATGATTTTTCTCCCAGCATTCAGAGGCAGAGGAGGAAGGATCCTGAGATTCAGAGCAGCCTCTATAGCAAGAAACTCTCTGGGGAAAAAAACAAAAACAAGGGCTAGTGGATGTAACTCAGTGGTAGAATGTTTTCCAAGTATAAAGGGTTCAATCTGAAACACCACAAACATATACACATATAACCAGGAAAACAAAACTAGAAGCCAAGTGCCAAGTGCTAGAAAAATTCAAAATTAAAAAAAAACATAAATCCTTTCCTTGAGGTTGTTTTTTTCAACTGTAGAGGGTTGCAATTCTGTTGGTTTACTGAAGAGTTTTCTCAGACATGGAACAATTGAGACTGAGCAGCAGCCTAACTGCACACTCCTTACAGCAGGCTTTCACCACTGTCTCCAAGTGTGTGTGCCTGGCACAGCCGCCCTCGATGACTCACGCTGTAAAACAACGCATGCCACTCCTCCAGTCTCACTTTGAAATAACAGATTCATGATCAATTCCTGAAAAAGCCAGTGTTAAAATATCACTTAGCTTGTGCCAAATATTTGTGACAATGCAAGCATGCTCTACACTAAGCAACCCCTGTCATTCCTTTCAGAAAGCAGTAGTTTTCTCTGAGTAGTTTCAAAGATGCTCTTCCTCCAATCCACAGGACTGCTCTTGTTCTAGCACTGTTTCCAAAGGTACACATCACCACCGCCAAAATCACGTGTGGTATGTTTTAACTCACATAACATCTGATTCCAAATAATTTAACACTAAGCCTCTCCCAAATGTCAGCATTTAAAGATGACAGTTGCTCAATGGGTTTAATTGTAAAGATTCAGCTTCAAATAGCAAAATTACATCAAACAGAATAAGGCGATTACTCCAGTGGCACATGGCATGCACAGGCACTTGTGAGGCCTGGTGGCTGCCAAATGTTCTGTGGTTCACACAGCCTGTTTACCTCCAGGCTGACTTCATTTACCTTTCTCATGGCAAGCAGGCTTGCCTGCTCCAAACTCTCTATGCAAAGAAGCACGGAGAGATGGGCCGGGTGGTTGTGGTCACACAGCTGCCATACGGAAGTGATGGGGGCCCTTTCAGGCTGGTGGCAGCAGAGAGCCGCGTGCTGCTGGCGCTGTCTGGCTAGGGGGCAAGCCTTTCAAACAAATAAAGCTCTGAGCATTTTGGATATACTATAAATATATGGATTTCTTCCAAAAGAGAAAAAAAAGGGGGTTTTGTCTGGGAACAATATAATAGAGTATTTTAGATTAAAACTAGGCTTCTTGAGTTCTAGCTTCACCAATCATGAAACTATTTGAGTAAATTACTAAATCTCTCTCCCCTTCTGCCTTCCTTCTCTCTCTTGGTCCTCCCCGCCTCCCCTCCCCAGGACTGGAGCTTGACTCAGAACCAGAGTACACCCCCTCAGCTTCTTCTCTCAAGGCTGGTGTTCTACCACTTGAGCCACAGCTCCACTTCCAACATTTAAGGGGCTTGGGGCTGGGAAGGTGGCTCAGTGGTAGAGCGCTTGCCTTGCATGCATGAGGCCCTGGGTTCAATTCCTCAGCACCATATAAGCAGAAAAAGCTGGAAGTGGTGCTGTGGCTCAAGTGATAGAGCACTAGCCTTGAGCTGAAGAGCTGAGGGACAAAGCCCAGGCCCAGAGTTCAGGTACCACGACTGGCAAAAAAAAAAAAAGGCCAAGAACCAACATTTAAGGGGCTAATTGGAGGCTGAGAGTCCCATGAACTTTCCTGCCCAAGCTGGCTTGGAATCATGATCCTCAGATCTCACCCTCCTAAGAGCTAGGATTATAGGCATGAACTACCAGTGCCCAGATGAATTTTTCTCTTATACCTAATAATAAAACCATTTTCAGAACAAAGTTCTTACAAAGTGAGAGAAATGTCATTAAAAAAAAAATCTAAGCACTTAGTTGGCTTGCTTCCAAGTTCCCCTTTTCTTTTATCCTGAGTAATGATGTAAAGTGTTCTTGCCATCCTAAATCTGAAGCCAAATCTCACTGAGTCACTGGACCGTACTATGGAAACTGTCTTCTGCTTTGGTAGTTTGAGAAAACAGCACTTTAGAGACCTGATGGACAACCTCACAGAAGTGTCCACTCCAGAGAAACCATAAACATCACTCACTCTAGGCCTTCAACTTTGGGGATGACATACAGCTACTAGTCAGAGGGCCACGCTGAGTTAGAGCCTATGAGGCAATACTTGTACAGAATACTGAAGGAACTGGGATAATATGCAGAGACAGCTGCTACCTAAAAACAGAGGTAGAAGTACTTTGATCACAGAAGCTTCACAGTGAGGCAGAGGCCATTACTGTCCCTGTATTACATATAAGAATAAGCACAAAACGGGTGACATTAAAAAAAAATGTACTCATTAACTGACTCATGTAACTTTAATCCCTCTGTACATTACTTTTATGAGAATAAAAAATAGAAAATAAATTTAAAGAATAAGCACAGAGAACTATGTACCGAAGTCTGAGAGTGAGATTTTTTTGACTTGTGCAATCTGATTCTAGAGCGTGTGCTCTTGACCACAATACCCCTGCTTAAAGTGAAATACACTTCTCACAGTGATAGGCATTACTGCATTTGCAGCTTCTCTTTAAAAAGGCTGGTATTCCTTTTCCCACTCTGTGGAGGCATGCATGAAATCGATGCAGCTTTATCAGAGTCAGTATCATTATGTTTACTCCACTAAATATACCCACAAAGAATGTTCTGTTTTCACAGAGAGATATGTTTGTCTTCCATGATGACTTCTGTGAGACCTCAGCCTGCTAATACTCACTGATGATAATACAATGCCTTTATGCCTTGCAATTTTCGGCCACTTAACTAGTCTGTGTATTAAACCTGAGAAGTTCATAGCTCATTTAAGAAATAGGTAGGAAAGGGAAAAATGAGAATCCAGTCCCTTAGAAATAAATGGCAAGGCAATCAGGAAAATGATAGTGGGAGAGTTCAAATAGTTCAAGAAGCATTTCATCAATAAACATTCTCTGAGAACTCAGATCCTCTTGTCATAGTTTTGCCAAATCCACAAGACAAGAACCACCTGCTGCCAGGCACTGGTGGCTGACGCCTGTAATCCTAGCTACTCAGGAGGCTGAAGTCTTATTCAATGTCAGCATGGGCAGAAAAAGTCTGCAAGACTCTTTTTTAAAAACATTTTCCATGAGACTTTTATATCTAATTAACCACCAGAAAACCAGAAGTGGTGCTATGGCTCAAGTGGTAGAGTACTTGCCTTGAGCTGAAGAACTCAGGGATAGTACCCAGGCCCAGAGGTCAAGCCCCATGACCGACCCCCCCCCCCAAAAAAAAAAAAGAACTACCTGCCCTGACATGTCCTAAAACATGTAAGAGGAGCCACGCCAAGTAGCCTACCCTCCCATTACAGGAGGACTATACCACAAGCCCACACAACCATGGAGTAGCTCTAGAAATAGCACAGTTAAGCAGGGTATCCATGGAGCAAGCGTTTTCTTCAGAGGGAAGACAACTTGTATCAGAAAAAGCTAAAATGACAACAGGTAGCTATACTAAGTGAAACCTGATAGAAAAGTGTATTAAAAGCACTTCACTTGTGAAGAGTTCATGGAGCTCATGGAGCTCTCAGTGAAAAAAGTACAAAGATTATAGTACAGGGGAAATACCTTCTAAAAGGGAGCAAAAAAGGGATATGCCGGAAGCACTTCAGAGGATCCAAAGTTAACATGTAATCCCAACACTAACAACACATGATTCACAGCTCGCTCACACTGACAGAGTTCTCACAGCTGCAGCCTGTGAAGGTCTCCCATACTCTCTCTAGTGACATAATCAAGATGGGTCAAAGGCAAGATTCTCATTTCTTTCTTTCTTCTTTATTTTGTTCCGAAAGTTTTGGGGAGGGCCAGGGGGCTCAAGTGGCAGAGTGCCTGCCTAGCAAGTGCAAGGTTGAGTTCAAAGTCTACTGCTGAAACAAAAATCAGAAAACAAAGAAAAAAAAAAAAAAACAAGGGCCAACAGCATTTGAGCTTGGTGCTAGGGTTCTGCCGATAGCTTCTGTAATCCTCACTACTTGGGAGGCTGTGACAGGGACAAATGTTTTGAGGCCAACCTGGGGGGAAAGCAGTTCATAAAACCCCCTTTCTTGATAAACAGCTGTATGTGGTACACATCTGGGAAACTAAAATAGGAAGACTGCTGTCCAGGTATATATCTGAGTAGAAAGCAAAGAAGCCAGACCATCTAAAAAACAACCAGTGTAAACAATACCTGGAGACACGACTCAGCAGTAGAATAGCTGCCTATCAAGCATGGGGCCCTAAGTTCAAACTCCAGTAAGAGTGCAAGCAAGCAAGAAAGTGGTATTTTCAGTGCTTTTCAATGTTAACGCCGTTATTCAAGGGCACTTGGCCTTGTGTTCTCCGTGCTGCAGTCTTTCATCGGCAGTAGTTTGCTGGCTACTTACTCACCTGAGCCCCTCGGTCATTGACCAGCTCTACAGACCATCTGCCTTCATACTGAATCCACACAAATATTCCTCCATCTGCATCACATGTAGCCAGCTTCTGGTATGGTTCATTCCACCTCACCAGTACCACCTAGAAAACCAATAGAAAAATATTTATTACAGGAAAGAAACCAGAACTAAACACAGAGTGTAGACAGTCACAACAACAGGCTGGGGAAGGATTAGTGGAGAATCAGATGGGAGAGTCTACACATAAGAGTCTCATGTGGATCCAGAAACACTGGATAATGCTTCCCAGAAAATAGCAGACATCTGGACCAATAATACAATACGAATACATGCATTGCCATAAAAACAGAGAATACATATGACTCAGTACCTGCCTCCCACAGGTGTACAATGATCCCACATATGCTGGTCCTGTGTTTTTCAATTACAGTTATTTAATTTAGTACAGAAGAAGAATGGAGGTGAGTCTTAATTTCATTTTCGTACAGGAGTGGAAGTTTTTTCTCTATACTACACCTTATTTCTGAATAACATGGCCAAGTTGGAAAACATGTGGTTGAAATATCTACGTTATTCGGGATTTATCACAGCAATAATGTGAGTATAAGAGCCTCGGCTTTACTGTGGTGAGCATTCCTTGAGGCTGTCCCCAGCTGGCCCATCTTAATGACTGTGATGAACTGGTTCAGTCAGACGTTTGGCACATTCTACGTAGCTAACGTTGAGATGGAGGATATAAAGCACTCCCACTGCCTTCATTAAAACAAAAACTGAATGGGGAAGCCAGCACATTCACAGACATGTGGATACCACTGCCATGTGTTGATAAAAGAGGACCGTCTCCATTAGCAGGAGCACTCCTGCTATTCATCAAGGCATGAGCCCTGTTTCCTTACAGCATCCTGTACATAATAAGCTCATTATGACTTTTGTATATAGGAGATAGCACTGTGAAGTTTCCAAATTCTCACATACGTTCTGAAGTAGAAAATAAGTCTGAGGAATCACCACAAGGCCCACACTCTTTTGCACACCCACCTGTCTGTCCAAAGCATGCTTCATGTTTTCAAACCAACATACAAATCCCATAACTTCTCAAAGTTATGCAATGGATATACCTAATTTGAGGGTCTCTGAATGTGCTGCCAGGTTACTAAAGAGTTGGGAGAAACCCCAAGAATGGTCTGCCTAAGCCACAACGCTCAACATTTTCAAGAAAATGTTGATTGTTCTTCTAAAATGCGGTAAAAAAATTAAATGAAGCTGTGATCTTTGGAGACCTGCCAATCTCGAGTTAAATCTCAGGTGTATCCCATCTTGAGATTGCATCCCCTGTGCTTAGCCCATCTCTGCAGGTGCAATGCTGACACAATCCAGCATAGCTATCAGCTTGTAAACAGATCTATACCAGAGGCAAAAGGACTCTTTAAATACTGACACAGCAAACTTGAATATATTTTGCCAATTATAATATGCAATTACCTTACAATTTTGTAAAATTATACTCTTGAACTATTAAAAACTATGTCCACTAGGTTATCTTAAACTTCCAAATGCATTTTAATAACACTGTCTGCCTATGATAGCCAGATACTGTTAGGTGCTAAAGATAGAGATGAAGACATCTTTGGCCCCATGGCCAAATACTGTGCTCTATACAGAATTACAGAGCTAATGAACACAATAGGATTTAATTTTTCTTTAAAAAGCCAAATCAATCACAACGGAAATCTTTAAATGACAATGAATGTGTCAGAAAATTGAAAATGTCTGAACATTCAGTAAGGCCAGCTTCATATATTCCTTTCAGATGCATCAGTGTTTTCGCCTAAGCACTTCAATCTATGACTTGGATGCAGGTGCAGTTTGTCTCTACAGACCATCATTAGTCACAGAATCTCACACTTGTTTCCACTCTTCAGAATGGTGCCACAGAATAGCAGCCACAGAGTGGAACATGACAAACCTGATACTCATGACTAATTTTTAACTTATTTTCTTAAGTTAAAACAGTGAAGGTTCAACTACTAGGAGCTTCTCTGTAAAATAGTATCTAACAATGAGGTGTCATATTTCAGAGGTTAGTCGTATCATTTCTACTCTTCTCTCCTCGATCATGTACTACCATGCATAGTTGCATATGTAGTTAACATCAACAACAAAATCCATCTTCTTCACAAAATTAGCTTGCACAATCACAGCTGACAAAAACACAGAAGACCAAGCAAAAGGAAGTAGCGCTGTGGCTCAAGTGGTAGAGTGCTAGCCTTGAGCAGAAGAGTTCAGGGACAGCACTCAGGCCTTGAGTTCAAGCCCCATGACAACCACCACCACCAAAATAAAATTTTTTTTAAAAAGGCAAAGATACTTCTAAATGATTTCTAATACCAAATTATCTTAAGACAGTTATCCTGTTAAACATTTGTCAAACAAAACCTCCACAGACTCTATTTCATCCTACTGTAATTCTTAATCACATGAAATGCAATGTGATCTAGAAATGTGATTCCAATTAAGTTCTTCTTCACTTGGATTCTATCTAGCATAACCCAGCAGTAGAGAGTTAATGCCGCTGAATTGGGGACGGAGTCCTTCCAATGATACTTGGTATAAAAATGAATTGGAACTAGAAATATTGTTTTCTTGGATTAATATTCATTCTCATTTCCCTTCCTGTCTACAGTGCATAGCTGCCTACCTTATCTCCCAAGCTTATTTCCTGTTCTCCAAATCCTTCCAGCCCACTTGGCAAACCTAAGACATACCAGAGTGCTGAAAGGTTACCAGCCAGGGGGACCATCTGGGTTCTTAGTCAGTCAGATCATGCCGTAAAGTGCAATGGATCTGCCCCAACAGCCTATGGCACAGCTTCCTAGCTCTCTAAGGGAAAACAGGAATCTCATTTAGTCTAAGCAACAAAGAACTTTCACATTTAGGATGTTAAAGTATGCACTCTTCTACTAAGAAGAGGATGAGCTAGGTAGTGACCTATGCCTTCAATTATTTTTTCAATGCCAGCCAGTTCTGCTCATTCTATTATTTTAGTGGTATTGTTATCAATAAATATTTATTGAGAGCTACTAAAGGAAACTTGCAATAAAAACACAGGGCAGAATTGCTGAAAATCTATTTGCACTATAATCTACAATCTTGATGGTTAGCTTCATTTAATATGACTAGAATTGTTTTTTCTTTTTTTCCTTTTTTTGTTGGTCATGGGTCTTGAACTCTGGGTCTGGGCGCTGGTCCCTGAGCTTTTCAGCTCAAGGCTAGCACTCAAGGCTAGCCACAGTGCCACTTCTGGTTTTCTGGTGGTTAAATGGAGGTCAGAGTCTCACAGATGTTCCTGCCCAGGCTGGCTTTGACCCTCAATCCTCAGATCTCAGCTGCCTGAAATTACAGGCATGAGCCACCAGTGCCCGGCATGATTAGAATTATTTTCAAGAAGAGAAAAACAAGTGCTAATAACTGAGGATGGTCATCTATTGAGGTAGGAAAACCCTCCAGAAAATGTTCTCAGGAGACTACCATAATAAAAAGCCATATCACCAATGTTCAAAATGTTTCCTCAATCTAAAAAGAAGAAATTTGAATAAACATTAAATACTAGTTGAAAGGAATCCCTATGATTATCATCACTCTGTAATTTATTCAAAACAACAGTAAGTTCGAATATAAAGAAAAAATAATGGCTAGTTTTTAAGATGCATTTAGACATTTTAACAAAACACCCAAAGCAACTTAAAACAGAGGATAGAAGACATTCAATGAAAACAATGGTTTTACAGAAGCTGCTCTCCATTAAGTGATAATAAAAAGCCACATGTGGAGGAGGGCAAGAAGTAAGTCCTGGTCTTGCTACATGCCTACCATCTGCTAGGCTGTGGGTAACCTGGGGACCTTGTTTTTGCCCTTGCCCCTCATCTACTAAGGAGGGGTGATTACAACACACCTTTGGCCATGTCATTGTGAAGAGCAGGAAAACAGCGATCAGAACACATGAGGAAATGCTCCTTATCCCTGGCCATAAAGGAAATGCAAATCAAAGCAACTCTGAGGTTCCATCTCTCTGCAGTTTAGATTGGCTAACATCATGAATTTGAACAACAAATTTTGGTGTGGTTGTGGGGGAAAAGGAACCCTACTGCACTGTTGTTGGGAATGTAAACTAGCACAACCACTCTGGACAGCGGTCTGGAGGTTCCTCAAAAAATTAAACATAGATTTTTCCCTATGACCCAGCCAGACCACTCCTGGGCTTCTACCCAGAACATCACAAGCCTGAATACCATAAAGACACTTGCACAACCATGTTCATTGCTGTACCATTTACAATAGCCAAACTATGGAAACAGCCCAGATGCCCTACAATAGATAAGTGAATCAAAAAAAAAAAGGGATACCTAAGGAATTTTACACAGCCATTAGAAAAAATATCAAGTCATTTGTAGAGAAATGAGTGGGCCTAGAACAAATCATGTTAAGTGAGATAAGCCAAGCTCAAGAGAGACAAATGGTGCATGTTTTCTCTCATATGTGAAAACTAGACCTAAAATATACAGGGACATAAGTTATACAGGCCTCTAGGCATTCACACACAATGAGACCAAAGTAGGACAGTCTTAGGAGTGGAACACAAAGGAGCAATGCCTATGTGCCTATGATCATATCAAATAATATTTATTGACCCTCCCCCCACGGCATAACCCCTGTTTTCACTATATTAGATGTTGGTATAATTTGGGGACGGAAAAGGAAAAAACAAATTGTTTAAATAGGGATACAGGTGGACCCACTGCAACAATGAAATGTACAAGATGCTATGTCGAAAAATGAACTTTATAACTTGGGAGCGGGCGGGGGGTGCTGCTATGGGAGGGCAGGGATGGTAGGGGAAACAAAAGAGGAGGCAACAATGCTTGATAAATGTACTCATTACCTTACTCATGTAATTGTAACCCCTCCGTACGGTATTTTCACAATAAAAAAACTTAATAATAAAAAATATTTATTGAAATGAACTTCAGGAAATAGAAACAAAAAGTCTTTGCTGCAGTTTTTGTTTTCTTTTTTTTTGTCTTGGTTGTTCTTCTGTCTTTGGAAAGGTGAGGGGGAGCACAG